CAACGTCTGTCCTTCTGGAAAGAGGCTGCAGGAGAAAAGATACCAGCTCAGCATGTGTGCTGCTGTGGATGGTCGGGAGTTCCCATTCCTGGAAGATTCTAGACTAAGCTGGACAATTTCTTAGCAGAGACATCCCTACTTAAAAAAAAAAAAAAAAAAAAAAAAGACTATTTTTTAGAGCAGTTTTAGATTCACAATGAAATTTAGCAGAAGGCACAGATTTCTCATACAGCCCCTGCCCCACATAGGCCCAGCTCCCCCCACTATCCACATCCCCCACTGGAGCGGTACATTTGTTTCAACTGATGGACCTACCGTGACACATCACTGTCCCCCAGATTCCATAGTTTACATTAGGGTTTACTCTTGGTGTTGTCGATTCTAAGGGTTTGGACAAAGGTATAACGACACGTACCCAGCATTATAGTATCATACAGAGTAGTGTTATCACCCTAAAATTCCTCGGTGCTTCATCTGTTCACCCCCTCCCCCAGCCCTCCGGCAAACGCCGATCTTGCTCTCTTCGTAGTTTTGCCCGTTCCGGATGTCACATAGTTGGGATCATACCGTCTGCAGCCTTTTCAGATCGGCCTCTTATACGTAGTCATAGGCATTTAAGCTTGCTCCAGGTCTCTTTGTGGCTAGTAGTTACTTTCTTTTAATTTTTCTTTTTAAATCCTCACCTCAGGATATTCTTTCCATTGATTTCTAGAGAGATTGGAAGGGAGGGAGGACGGGGAAGGGGCGGGGGAGAGGAGAGAAACATCGACATGAGAGAGACACATCGATTGGTTGCCTCATGCACATGCCCCTACCAGGGCTGGGGAACCTACAACCCAGGTACATGCCCTTGACTGGGAATTGAACTCGAGATCCTTCGGTCCGAGGGTGGACGCTCCAACCACTGAGCCAAGCTGTCCAGGGCAGTTCATTTCTTTTTAGTGCTGATTAATTTCCCATTGCCTGGATGTACTAATATTTTTTTCAATTGTGTGTTTGTTTCTATAGATTGCTAGAAAGCACTGATAGGGGCCAAGGTGGAATAAACAGGAAGGGACAGCCGTGATTTCCAGTGACGGAGGAGGGGCTGGGCTCGGAAGGAGGCTGATGCCAGGGGACAGTCTCAGAGTGGCTCGTGCAGAGACCACAACTCCACACAACAGGGTGTGTAAGGGCTTGTTCAGTACAAGTGACGGAGATCCAGGGCAATAGCTTCATCTAAAAGTGGCTGTGCTGGCTCCTGTACCCGGAATTTCAAGGAGTAAGTCTGCATTGTCAGGCACAGCTGAATGCAAGGCCCGAAAAGATGCCACCAGGCCCAGGCTGTCTCTGCCTCTCAGGCTTGCTTGCTTCTGGGTTGGCTGCACTAGGAGGCGGACTTCCCCAAGAGGTGGCCACCTGGAGACCCAGGCTCGCTTTCTACTAGCTGACTGACACCAGTGTGTTACCATCCCTTTTCCCAGCAAAACTTCCCTCTGACCCTGACCGTCGAATGTCACAGGGCCGGCCCTGAAATTAGGAATACCTGTGGCTGACTGGTACCCATCCCTGATATGAGGAATTGATACCACCCCACCACCCACCTCCACTTGGAAAAACTGAGAATGGGGCAGGGGAGGTTTCCAAAGGAAAACTGGGGCGCTCTTCCTAAAGAATGGAAGAGGATTCTGAGCCAGTAAAATCCATAGGTGCTCCATGTGTCAGACTATAGAAAAACAGAGAAGGGTGCTGATATGTATTACATAAAAGCAACGGAAATCGCGGTCTTGAACGGTAGTCTCAAAGCAATCAATTTAAAAGGAACTTCATTATACTCTTACAATTGCAAATTAAGTGTCTGAGGGGCGCTATCTCTCCTTCTCTGGGACTCTATGTTCTTTGGGACTCGAGAGAAGTGCGGAGGGAACGGTGGACTCACACTCTGCTTCCTTTCCATGTCTAGTGTGTTTTCACGTATGGCTGAGACTAGAAAGCGAAATACATTTCCCAGACTCCTTTGCAGCGAGGGTAATGAGTACAAAATAGCTTCATTAGCTCATGTACTCAAGTAAGAGTTGCCAGGCAGAAGCAGGGAGGAGGCCATCTCTCTGTGGCTGGGTGCTTTCTGCTGCCAGGCTTCCCTGTGGAGACACTGGCCCTTCTGCATGTTCAGCCTCTACCTTTGTGGGCCCGGAAAGACAGCAGCAGTGGCGGCAGTGCGACCTCCTGATCCCCCTCTTCTGGATAATGGGAGAGCTCCCTGGGCGGGCCAGCTCTGCAGCTCTGGGAATCGTTTCTGCAGACCCAGCCCAGAGCCCATCACTCTAGCCCTTCTGACAACACTGAGGGCAGGTAATTCCCTGTGTTAGAGTAATTTTCTGTTTAAAGGAGCTGAAAGGGTGTCTGTTTACTAGACCTAAACAGGCAGGGTTGACAAAGGTCAAGAAAAACAAAAAGTCTAGTTGTTGACCCAGGCCTGGATGCTCAGAGGGGGCTGATCTGGAGAAATCTTGGCGACGCAGGCAGAGGGGAAGCTCATTTGGTGCCATGGGGCATGGTCTCCGAAGGGAGGGCTACACAACTTCTAGGGATGATTTCGTGGACACGGGTGTCCCTCCCTGCAATCACCAGCACTCTTCCCTCTGTCCACCCATTAGGAACTATCCTGTTCCTTGAATTCTCTCAAGGCGAGGCCTTTGCTTTCATTTATAGTCCACAAACACTGACTGAGTACCTACTGTCTACTGGCAAATCCTAGATCCTCTGCAAACCAACCCACCTCTCCCTCTCCAAGGCCCCTGCTTCATACTCGCACAAATACACAAAACACAAACTTTTCAACTACTTGAACTTCTACACACTCTTCCTTGACTCCCATAGTCCCGGCTTTTAGTCCTAGCTTGTAATCCTACAGTTCCTGAATTTCCCCTATCAAAGCATTTCCTCTCAGGGCATTGAAATTGCTCATTCATTTCTCTGTCTCCCATGCTAAATGTTAACTGCAGTGATGGCAAAGTCTGTCTTGTTTGCCAGTATAGCCTCGGGACCCAGCATACTGCCTGGTACACCCATGCCTCAGACATCCCATAAATAGTTACTGAATTTATATTTGAGTATACTAAGGAATTTCAGAAAGTGGATTATCTCTGGAAGCTCTCAGATCTAAGATCAGCTGTACAGATCAAAGGAGGTGATAGAAACTCTGGGTGCTGAGGCAAAATCAGAAGTTGGCAAGATGTTTCTTTCCTTTCCAAGTTTCTCACATTTTAGCGCCCTCACCACCACTTCTTTTAGCTTGAAAGATACAAAGTGGGGAGAGAGCGAGGGAGAGGGAGAGCAGTTCAAACCACTTTGAACATTCTCCCTATGCTCTGCTATTTGCCCTTTTCAGATGTTGGCTCTGTGCCTTATAGGATATTTGACCTTGGAGGAATTTTTAACCTGAGATTTTGTTTCCTCATTTATAAAATGGCCACAAATTCTTTGACAGGTTGCTATCTGAAGGTGTGAGCGATGTCCCTGCCACATGCCCTTTCACTTGGCGGGGGGGGGGGGGGGGGGGGGGGGAGGGGGGGTGCTCTGTGACAGTATGACCAACATCACACAGAAGGGATGCTGCACCAGCTTCCATGCAGGAGCCTCAACAGACTGGCAGCCTCCGGTTCCTGTCTTAGAATACTCACTCTACCAGGGCCGTCCCAGCCTCACCGGGGCCGTCCCGACCTCATCGGGGCTGTTTCAACCTCACCAGGGCCGTCCCAACCTCACCAGGGCCATTTCAACCTCACCAGGGCCATCCCGACCTCAAACGGCCCCGGTGAAGTCGGAATGGCCCTGGGGAAGTGGAGACGGCCCTGGTGAGGTCGGGACAGATAATGGGGACCAGTATAGACTGATGAACAGGGGTAGATGCAGAGGCAGAGCAGCATTGAACAGACTATCACACTACAGTGGGAAGCCTGGGGAGGGTTTGTGGGGGGTGGGGGGGGCGGGCGTTAAGAGATCAACCAAAGGACTTATGTGCATGCATATAAGAATAACCAATGGACACAAGACACTAGGGCAGGGGTGGGCAAACTTTTTGACTCAAGGGCCACAATGGGTTCTTAAACTGGACCGGAGGGCTGGAACAAAAGCATGGATGGAGTGTTTGTGTGAACTAATATAAATTCAAAGTAAACATCATTACATAAAAGGGTACGGTCTTTTTTTTCAATAGTTTTATTCATTTCAAAAGGGCTGGATCCGGCCCGCGGGCCGTAGTTTGCCCACGGCTGCCCTAGGGGGTAGGGGCCGGGGGAATGTCCAGGGGGGAAAAAAGGAGACATATGTAATGCTCTTTGTAATACTTCAAGCAATAAAAATTATTTAAAAAAAAAAAAAAAAAAGAATACTCACTCTATGGGAAGTCGCCCGCCATGCTATGAAGGCGCCTGAGCTGCCACTGGAGAGACCGGATAGAGCAGCCATGGGCAAACTACGGCCCGCGGGCCGGATCCGGCCGTTTGAAATGAATAAAACTAAAAAAAAAGACCATACCCTTTTATGTAATGATGTTTACTTTGAATTTATATTAGTTCACACAAACACTCCATCCATGCTTTTGTTCCGGCCCTCCGGTCCAGTTTAAGAACCCATTGTGGCCCTCGAGTCAAAAAGTTTGCCCACCCCTGGGATAGAGGGAGACGCTGGCTAGTCCCAGCTGTCCTGGCGTTCCAGCCGAAATGCAGTCGTGTGCGCGAAGAAGCCATCGTGGTGTCCAGCCCAGGTGAGCATTCGGATGACTCCAACCCCAGCTGCCATCTGACAGCGACCACATGAGAGGTCCCAGGCGAGAACTGCCCAGCTGAGCACGGTCCACCCACAGAACTGGGAGCCACTGAGGCTCAGGGTGGTTTACTAAGCTGCAGTAGATAATGCAGCTGAAGTGATGGCGATAGGATTGTCATGAAGGTTAATGAGTTTGTGGTACGCTAGATCCCCAGCCCATAGCCTGGAATAAATGAAGCCTTCAATAGACATCAATGTCACTGCCCCTTCCCCTTCCTCTTTATTAATTCCATCAACTTCCGAGACGGGGGTACTTTCAGTATCATCATCTGAAGGTAGGGTGAGCTGCAGCTGGGCTCTTTGCCAGATGTTTGGAATTTGAACAGCTCCCCTTTCTCCTCTCCATCTTTCTCTTGTTTCTTCTTCTGTGTGCTTTAAAGCACAGACAGATCATCTAGACCTAAAATAAGAATACCAAATTCAGCCTTTGTGTTTCAGACAGAAAAATCATAGGCTTGGTACAGGCTCATGGTAATAAAAATCAAGCCCCAGAAGCATTTTAGAGTCGAAGCAAAATTCTCCTTGGCAACTTCTGTCATGTCTATATGTGAGTGTGTGTATAAAAAGCTTTAAACAAAAACTTCAGACTTCATAATTATTTCATCATGTAAACATGGCTTTTGGGGGGCGGGGGTTAAAAAGTACATGGTTACCTGTAATTACAGTCTTGCTACATGTGATTTTACAGCACATCAAAATTAAAATTTGAGTTAAACCATGTACAAAGACATGGTACCTATTCTAAATGCTTCCATCCCCCCCTTACTCAAATGGCTGAGTTTATTTCATTCTTGTGATCTCCACGGAAGTCAACCTTTTATTATGTTGGTTGCTAAGGTGACACATCTTGCCAATCGTGTTGTGCATCCTAGAAAACTTGCTATCAAGGCCGTTTGAGAAGACCTTTCCTCCGCCTTGAATGCCTGAGAACACCCAAACCAAGATAGGCAAGAGAGTTCACCTCAGTCTGAGTTGGGTCAGCATCCTAAATTCCATCAACTACCTGGTCAATCAACTTGAGGGTGGAAGAGGGACTCAAACTAGATGTCTGACGTGTGTAGATAAGAGAACTGGTTTATACTTTTATATTATCAACCTATAATATGGCTGAAGATTCAAAGTTACCATGTGTATCCCCAGGATAAAAGCTTCTGGAACCTTTGGGGGTCCACAAGGTTAGAAAGGTGGGGGTGGGGTGGAGGGTGGAGGTGGGGGGAGGGGGTGGGATGGAGGGGGTCAGCTTGGGTGTCTGGTGACATTTCGCAGTCAGTTCCGGCTACAGGATACTCAGATGGGGAGCCTAGTCTACCGTTGAAGATGTCTTTCTTTCCCTGATGAGGATGCAGGGGGCTGGAGCCTGGGCATCGTCACTTTACTAACCTGGCCATGCCTCGTGTCCAGGGACAGGTGCGGACCCTCTGGTCTCTGCTTCCGGTGCAGTCGGTTTGCAGACACAGCTGGGGCAACTGTTTCTTGCTGTTTCATAGCTCCTGTCGGAGGTGTGACGGTGTGAGGCGCTAGAAAGCTTCTTCTATAATTACTTCTTGATTTGCCTCTCGGAGTGCAAATGCACTGACCTCTGTGTGCTCCCGTGAGCTCGTCGGAGGGTGAGCGATCCGGAGAGTGTGGGTCTACAGACAAACGGGTGACATTATTTTGCCCCCAAGTAAAAAATCACATTGTAGGAGAGTGGTCATGGGGTCTTTGTTACTACAATTTGCCATTGTAGCCAAATCTATAACCCGAGATGCCACCCCAGGTGCACCCAAGTCAGTGCAATCACGCCCCAGAGAAATGAGAGAGGCGCAAGGTGGGCAGCAGGGCTGGCCCCCGCCTCCCGGGCGCAGGTTCCCACGGGGCTGGGCCCACTGGTCAGTGGCTGCAGGGAGGGGGTGGGTGGGCCGGGCACCGGGGCGGAGGCGGGTGCCCGAGAAGCGCTCTAGGGAGACCCGGACCGGCGCCCAGGGCTGAGCCCGCTTCCTGGCACCCGAGGCGCCCCCAAACCCTCAGGCACAGCACCTGCCCCGTGCGGGCGCAGCGGGAGCCCGGCCGGCGCCCGGCCTGCCCTCCCCGGAGCCCGCCATCGGCTGAGCCCTCGGCTCCAGCGACACGTGGCCCCACACGCACAGGTGGCCCCCTCGGACCCGCAGCCCCATTTTACCCGCTGCTCACGGGGCCCCGCTCCGGCTCCCGGCGCCCCCAGGGGCGCGGCGCCCGCTTCTCGGCGCCGGGGGCGGGGCCTCGCGCAGGGCGCCCGGGGATTGGCCGCGGGGGGCGGGGGGTGGGGCCGACCGCGGAGAAAACAGCGCGCGCGCAGCCGGGGAGCAGTCCCCGCCGGAGTCTGAGGCTTTGGGAGCCGCGCGCCGTCCGCTCCGCGCTCGCTTTCCGAGGTTTCAGCTCCTCCCGGGGAGCCCTCGGCCGAGCCCGGTCCGCTCCCGTGCAGCGCGAGCTCCTCCCGCCTCCCGCAGCTCCCGTCCCGCGCGGAGCAGCCCGGCGCAGCGGCGATGCGCCTCATTCAGAACATGTGCACCATCGCCGAGTACCCCGCCCCGGGCAGCGCCGCGGCCGCCGACTACTGCCCGAGGGCGGCGGGCCGCCGGCTGGTCAAGATCGCCGTGGTGGGGGCCAGCGGCGTGGGCAAGACCGGTGAGTCCGCGCTCGGGCGAGACCCGCTGGTCTGGCCGGGCAGGGCGAGGGGGAGCGGCGGCTGCCCGCCCGCCCGCCGTCTCCCAAGCACCCACTGCCCCTTCTGCCCATGAGGGAACTGGGGCCCCGAGTGGCCGGGCGACCGTCCCGGCACCGCCGACGCAGCCGAGAGCAGAGCCTTGGGGTTCTTGAGCCTCCGGTGGTGCTGGCCCAAGGGGTACTGAGGGGGCGCGGCCGCGCCTCGGGGCTCCCAGGTTAGAAAGGGGTGTCGGCTGGGGGCTGAGTGCGGCGGGGCCGGCGCAGAGGAGCGGGGGGCGGGGGGGGGGGCCGGGCCCTCCCCGCGGGACGGAGCGGCAGCTCGCCGAGCCTTCTAGTGCCGTGCGGTGTCTGGAAGGAGCGTGCAGGGGCTGCGGGGGTGGGAATTTCTTGGCGGCTGGCTCCCTCTGGGAGAGCTGATTTCCAGGCCGGGTGGAGTGAAGAAGGTGAATGTAACTGCAGCGCCAGGGCTAAGCCTCTCCTTTCCTTTCTGACCCGCAGCCCTGGTGGTCCGGTTCCTCACCAAGCGCTTCATCGGCGACTACGAGAGAAACGCAGGTGAGCCAGCGCCTTGGAAAGAGATGCCTCCGCTTGCACCGGGGCTGCCTTGCTCTCCTTTTCAGCGCCGCCCAGGAGGTCCCTCGGAGTGACAGTCAGCACCAGGGTTGCCACATCCAACTCTGCCCCCTGCTCCCCTCCCTGTGCGCCCCCCCCCCCCCAACTGCCATCTGGCCTCGGTCCACTCCAGGCCCATTCATCACTTTATCGAGGGCCTGAAAGTATGCCCCTTGGTATGTGTCCACCATGGGGACCCCAGTTGGAAGCACCCTTTGTTCTGAAGAGCCTCTCCCTTCAAAACACTCCTGCCAAAGTCATAAAAAAAAAAAAAATGCTGGCCAGCTCCTCCCCCTCCCGTCCCTCTCTGCGGGCTGCCTTTCAGAGGTGACCTTTTAAAGCAGAGGCCAGCGAGAGCCGCTGTAAACTAACGTTCTCTTTTCTTAACAAAGAGAAAGGACGGCGCGCCAGAATTTTAGGAGAGTTCCTGGATAAACGCGAGGACACTGTTTCAATCCCTGCGATTAAGACTGGCCACTGGGGAGGCTTAAGGGCTTTCAGCCTATGTTCTGTTAACAAATTGTTTCATTCCTTGGACCATCTGAAGTACCTACAGGGGATTATTTGAAATGCGCTCTATAAACCATGGCAAGATAAGGCATGGCGGCCTTCTGCTTTGATGTAGAGGTGGCTGTGGTTATGTCACATTTTTATTTCAGTTGGTAATGTTGGCTCTGCGTTTGCTAACAATGTTTGCCTACCGAGCCACTGTATCTGATAGCTAGAGTATAAATATATGTCTGAGTGATAAAGTACTAAAATAAAATAGAGACCCCACACATGCAGAGCAAGGAGATACTCTAAATATGGAAACTCTGTTTAAAACAACCCAAATCAGTTTCCAAAAATGTGCAAACTTTGCCCTGGTTTTAATAAATCAACTAATATGGTAGTTAAAATTACAGTTGTTTAAAAAAAAAATCTAAATTAAGCCTATTAATTAGGATAAACTATAGCTTATTTTTGTCCAGTGGTTCAGGTTGTATTTTATAAGTTAAAAAAAAAATCCCATAATGTTTTCTAAGTTGCACAAGAAGGATGGACATAATTTTTTTTTTCTTTTGCCTGATAGGTAATCTGTACACCAGACAAGTCCAAATAGAAGGCGAAACCCTGGCTATTCAGGTTCAAGACACTCCAGGTATTCAGGTGAGAAGCTCTGAGATGCGTGACTAGGTCGATGGGGAGGTGGCTTGACTGTCGAACTGTTCAGTTCTCCAAGTACGAAGGCGAGGAATTTGGGGAGCCAAGTCGAGGCTTTTACATGTGTGACACTTCAGTGCTATCTGGCTGTTGGTCAGTCTTAGCCTGGCTTGATTTGGAAGACGTGGCTGAGGGGCAGAAATCGCAGGAGTCTACCCAGCAGGAAAGACCAAACCAAGCACACTGGGAACAGGAGGTTTCCGACTGTGGTTAAAAAGGTCACTTTTTACATTTGTGCCTTGCCATTCAAAATCAAAATCTAGGTATAGTCTCCAAATACTCGGAATCACTTTTTATTGTGGAAAGTTCCTCTATAGACAAAAGAGCCATGCTAGTGTGTGTGTGTGTTTCCCTCTTGAGCTGGGCAGTTATCCAGGTTTAAATGCTTCCAGCTCCTATCTTTACTTCTCCAGACTTACTGTCTAGCCAGTTAATTTCCCATTTTATGCAACTACAAAGTCTCTCTGCATGGAGTTCTCTGCAGGTCAATTTTCCACTTGAGTGTGGTGAGCTGCACTGTTATTTATTCCAGCTCCGTGCAGCTGGATCAACATATTGTCAAGAAAGCTGAAGTGTGTGGGGATATAACTTGTTTATGGCCTGCGACCTGGCATTGCTGTCAAGGGCTCTTTGAATTCTCTATCCAGCCCAGCCAGGGCTCTCTTCATTCACCTTGCCGTTCCCCCTCTCTCAGGTCCACGAGAACAGCTTGAGCGGCAACGAACAGCTGAGTAGGTGCATTCGCTGGGCCGACGCTGTGGTCATCGTTTTCTCCATCACCGACTACAAGAGCTATGAACTCATTGGCCAGCTCCACCAGCAGGTCCAGCAGCTCCACCTGGGCACCCGGCTGCCCGTGGTGGTCGTGGCCAACAAAGCTGACCTGCTCCACATCAAGCAGGTGGACCCTCAGCTTGGACTGCAGCTGGCCGGCATGCTGGGCTGCTCCTTCTACGAAGTGTCCGTCAGCGAAAACTACAACGACGTCTACAACGCTTTCCACGTCCTGTGCAAAGAAGTGAGTCACAAGCAGCCGCCGAGCAGCACGCCCGAGAAGCGAAGAACCTCCCTTATCCCCAGGCCCAAGTCGCCCAACATGCAGGACCTGAAGAGGAGGTTCAAGCAAGCCCTTTCTGCCAAAGTGAGGACTGTCACCTCCGTCTGAAGCAGAGGCACGCGGGGTGTGGTCTTCCCAGGAAGAGAGTCTGAGGCTCTTCAGGTGCAGGAACGTTGAATGCTGGGAGTAATTCGCGGTTCCAGAAAGGGCCGAGCAGGGAGGCCCTGAGGGCCTGTGGAACTGGTGCGGAAAAGGAAGCATTGTTCAGAGCGGGGGACAGAACCGGTGAGGCTTGATGCCCACCAGGCCGCTCTCTGAATATGTGAAATGGACTTCCTGTCTTGTCCTGTAGAGGGGAAGGGGGCATAATTGCTTTGGATTTTGTCCTTAATGCCTTGTAAATGATGCTCAGTGGTAGTTTCACCAAATATATCGATGTGATTTACAGTGGGGATGAAATAGATTCAGCTCTCACGGGCTTTCCTTTTTTACTTCCTTCTCTTTTCCTCCACCCGGATACCCCAGGGAAGAACTGCTTTTCTCTGACAAGGAGGATTTGCATCTCTGGAACCCTATTCCCTATAGAATGCCTTTCTAACTGGAAGGGTACCCAGTTTCTTAGGACAAAGAGGAAAATATTCCCCATCCCCCCCAAAAGGGTGGAGTTTATGGGCCAAAATGTGTACCCAGACATCTCTAAGCGTATATGGCCTGACACGGGAGGCTGCTTACTTGAGCCTGTGATCGGTGGGTGGAGAACAAACTCTTCAGCCCCAAACTTTGAGTGGTGTGAGACTATAATTAAACACAACAACAACAAGAAACTGTTGCATCAGGTACAGAAAGAAAATGTGTCCATTGAATTTGGTGTGATTTGTGTAAATGGCTCATGGCAATGATGTTGGGCGGCTTCCCAGGCTTGGTTGAGTCATGGCTTAAATACCAAAACACTGTCTTACAGCGAGTGAACAGATGCACTTTAAAGCCACCCAAGCTTTGGCTTAAATTGTAATTAATTTATTTTATGTACAATAAATTTCATTTTAAAAGAACAGACATCTGAGTTGGTCTTTATTGAAACACTCACCTTTTGTCCTTCCAAGAATTACTTAGCCTCTTGGATATGTTGAGTTAGGCATTGTGCCTTCCAAAGGTTATGTCTTTTTAATATATATATATATATATATATATATATATATATATATATATATGTATATTGATTTCAGAGAGGAAGGGGGAGACAGAGAGGACATCAATGTTGAGAGAGAGCCATTAATCAGGAGCTATGAGGGCCTCCTGAATGCCCCCCACTGGGGATGGAGCCTGCAACCCAGGCATGTGCCCTGACGTGGAATTGAACCGTAACCTCCTGGTTCATAGGTTGACACTCAACCACTGAGCCACGCCAGTTGGGTCAAGGGTTATGTCTTAAATGTCCCAACCAAAGACATGCATTCAACTGTTAGTCCCACTTCACAGATGAGGAAACAGGCTTACAAACAAGATGCATATCTTGTCAAAGGCCACAACCTATGAGTGTTGTAAGCTGTAATTTGCCATTTTATAGTTAAGAATAGCACATCTCCTATCCATTTCCATCATGATCTTCCAGGTAAACCAGACATGTCTGGCTGTATGTTTTATTCTGGGAAGACATCTTAGCTGAGCCTTGAAGATACTAATGCTTCTACCC